GGCCCAGAGCTGGTGGGGACTCGGTGCTGTTGGCTCGGGGAGTTTTATCCAGCTCCCAGGAGCAGGGATGGTTCTGCAGTTCAGGCTTGCACGTGTCAGGAGGACTGTGTGGGATGCAGTGGAGAGCCTGGTCGGTGGTGTGGTTGTTGTCAGTTTTTTCCCCCAATACAGCTGGGGGTGTTTCTCTCCCTCTTTCACTCCTTCCCTCCCTCCCTCCCAGCGACTCCTTTTTGTTTGCTTCTCTGTGTTTGCTCCGTCACGTCACCCACTCCTGGGGCAGATGGGCTGGTGTCACCCCATTGTGCCAGGGCAGGGTGGACCTCCTGGAGTGCCTGTGAAGGGATTTAGGGAGGAATCTGAGCACGGAGAGCACGTTGTTCTTGCTCCAAAGGGCTCAGAGCTGGGAGCTCCTGGTGTCAGCTCCCAGCAGCATCCACACCAGAGGCAGCTCCTGGTGGTGTGGCCACTTGCATGCAGAGCTTGCCTGCTGCCCTACCCTCCTCCCTAGGCCAACCAGGCCCTCGCTTTTGAATCATTTGGAATGTATTGGATGCAAAAAACAACTTACAAAAATGAGCCTCGTGCCCTTCTGTGAGGAGGTTCTGGCCAGGAGGAAGCATTTCGCCTCCTGCTCCCCCTCCAGCAGCCCCTTCTGGGGAAAACCCAATGTGTGTGGAGTTATTTGTCTTTGTTTTTGTTGTTGCAGGCTGATGTCCCCAGGCTGTGGTGGCTTTGGTGGCCCCAGCTGGCCCTGGGATGGGACCTGTGGGTGCCCTTGGAGCCTGATGGGCAGCAGGTATCAGCTCACCCCCTGTGGCAGCTCTGCCCCTCACCCTTACAGACCCCAAAGCCATTGGAATCTGTTCCACAGCCCTGGATCCTGTGGGACATGTGGCTTTTCTGGGTGCTGGGGCTGGGCAGGGGTACCCTGGGCACCCAGGGGTGTGTGGAGGGCAGGGTGTCCCCAAGGGATTGGGGGCACTGCTGTGATAGCCAAGTTTGGCTTTTTTTTTTCTTCTTTCTTTCCTTTTTTAATGCTGATTATTTTTACTGTGACTTAATGACCTGCTTTAATGACGTTTGCAGCTTGTTCTTTAACACGTTTGGGACTAGGAACAAGGTGCACAAAGAGTCACTTTTTGGCTGCTGTGGCTTTGCTCCTGTTTTCTTTCCTGCTTTGGTTCCCGAATCCAGACAGCGCTTTGCTCAGGGTTTTCTTCCTTCGTTGTGTTTCCATTGGGAAAGGGGGAGTGGGGAGAGGATAACCCAACCTTTGGCCATTTGTTTTGTTTTCTTTGATACTTGAAGCAGTTTTTTTGCATCGTAATAACGAGGCTGCCCAGCCTGTGCCACTGCTCCTGACCCAGAAAAGCAGTGATGGAGGGATCCTGCCCCACGTCTGGTACAGCTCTTGGGCTTTGGCACAGCTTCCTGGAGGGATGTGGCACCCAGGGTGGGTGTCTGGGGGCTGATGCTGGTGCAGAGCGTGGGATGCTTTGGAGGAGTGGGAATGAGCACAGCCTGGGGCTCTATTTGCACTTTACCCATGTCACTAAACAAAACTGGGGACCACAGGGCTGAGCTCAGGGTGAGCTTCATCCCCAGCCATCCCCGGGGAGATGGAGCAATCCAGATCCTTGGCCCTGGAGGTGTTCCCATGCCCCTGGGAGCAGCTGCTGGAAGGGCAGCTTGGTGAGGCTCAGAGGGTCAGGTTTGGCTGAAGACCCTCCTGATCCCCCAAAGTTTGGCTTTGCCAAAAGTTCGAGGCAAACTGGGAGCAGGTCCAGGTGTCAGAGATCAAAAGTCGTCCCCTCTGTGTGTGTCTGTGTGCATATATGTATATAGCTAGAGAGAGAAAAGGTATTGCAAAGGATTCCTCCTCCTTTTTGGCACTTGCTGGGGTGGGGAGCAGGCTGAGCCCCCCAGCTGGGGCTGCACTTGGCTGTAGGGATTCACTCTGGACCAAACCTGTGCCCAGACAGCCACAGGGGCCGTGGGGGCAGCAGCAAAGTACTTGAATGGCTTAGGACAGAAAGTCTGGAGAGAGTCAAGTTGCACAGTGAAAAAAAATATATTTTTATACCTAGCACAACTTCCTGTATATTTTGGGGGTTTTTTCTTTCTTTTTTTTTTCTTTTTCCTCTTTCCTTTATTTTTTGATTTGGGTTTGTTTTATTAATGATTATTATTATTATTAGGAAGGCAAACTTCTAAAATGTGAAGGGCGTTGGGTTTTTCCTTATCTGGTAGATGAGGGCAAGCATTTTGCACTAATGTTTCCTGTGTGTGGAGGATTAATGATGTGTTTGAAAATGTTATATGGTAATGATTGTATTCTTCAGAGAAAAAAAAAACACAACAAAAAAAAAGGCAAAAAAAATATAACCCCTTAAAACACTGAATGTAAGGTGAGAACAGAGCAGTCCATCGATTGTATGCGGCTTTCCTGAGTGCCTTAGAATTTTTTGATCATTTTTTTTCCCAAGGAAAACAGATTAAGAAGATCAGATCATAACCAACTCCTTCCTCCTCTTTGTTTACGACACTATTTTAAATTCTAGAATTTTTTGGGGGCTGCTTTATAAATGTGAATAGGAAACTGCATTCATCTAGGTCTGACAGTGTAAAACCAGAGCATCAGTATTTATGGTATGTCTGCACCTTTATTCTTATGCTTGACTAGTAGCAATATTACCTGTATATTATATATCTAAAGTTATACCAAGCACCTTTAAAGAGCGCAGAGTGTAAGCACCCGAGTTCCCCTGCAGCTGCCAGAGTGTAGGAACAGCTCCTTCCTCTCCTCATTAGCGCTAATTACCGCCCGGCCCCGAGCGCTGCATGACCCCCCGGGCTGGTGGCTCCGCTCGGGGGGCTCGGGACGAGGGGTGGCAGGACAGCAGCATGTCCTTTACACCCTCCTCTCCACGGTTGAATCCTTCCAACTGTGTTTTCCCTGGAGAAATTCCCCGCGGGGGATGCTCGAGGGTGGCACATCCCCAGGGCTCAGCCCCCACAACTGGAATTGCCGCCGGTGCTCGGGGGAGCAGCAGAGCATCCTGCCGCGGTGTTCCCCCCACCATCCAGCCCTTGGCCCAAGGGGCTTGGGGCCATCCCGTGTTGGGTTTTTTATCCCTGGAAATCGCTGGCTGAGAGTGGAGAACGAGTGGTTCCCACGGCCCCGGGAGCATCCAAGGCTGTTGTCCCCCCGCGGTCCCAGTGATGCTCGAGGTGTTGCTGCTCTCCCAGTCCCGTGGGAGGGATGGAGGGGGTGAGGAGACCCTGACCCCACTCACCTGCTCCTCCCAGGGGGTTAGTGGTACCCACACTCACCAGAACCCCCTGAGCTCCTCCCAGGGGGGTTAGTGGTACCCACACTCATCA